CTTGGGTTATGCTCAAATTACCAACAAATTTGAGCTGGATTTTTTTTATCATCCACCCCTCAAAGACGACGACTATTTTATCATTCACCCTTCAAACAAGGTAGACCAACATTTAAATATTGATAGCACTAAAGTATCACCAAGTAATTAATTAGTAACACAATCTATGCTCATTTCCACCTCTTCAAGTTAAAAATATTTATTTATTTTTGGTCATAAAGTCTTTAATGAAGATTTCTAGAACAAAGCCACATGAAAAAATTTTAACAATGGGAAATGAAATCTTGTTACATTTGGAATAAAAATTGATTGATTTGTATAGCCAAGTTCTTTTAGGATTTTGGTTTAAATAAAGGCAGCTTTTAATTTGTAACTAGGGGTGCAACTCGAGTGGATACACTAGGAATGAAGAGTTATCCAAGTTGTTTTGAGAATTGCATGAGCCCCCCAAGCCCAAGCTCTAACCTAATTTTGTGTACTCAAGGCTGGCTCGAGCTCAATAAATTGAACTTGGGCTATGCTCAATTTTTTAATATTTTTTTTAATGTTTTTTGATCAGCGAAAGTCAATTGTTAATTGTTAGATTAGCATCTATAGGAGTTAGCCTCTCCACCTTTCCAAAGCACCAAGTGCTTGGCCATCTAATTTGGGTTGTGCTCAAATTACCAACAAATTTAAGCTGAATTATTATATCATCCACCCTTCATACAAGCTAGACTAACATTTAAATATTGATAGCACTAAAGTATCACTATTAACTAAGTAATTAATTAGTATTTTAAAATCTTAGCAGAGACAACCCAATCTATGCTCATTTCCACCTCTTCAACTTTAAAAAAAATTAATTTTTTGTCAAAGTATGTAAATAAGATTTCTAGAACAAAGCTACATGAAAAAGGTGACAAAATCCAACTGCTAACCATAATGCAACCCCCACAAGTGACATAAGGCATTAATGCGTGTCATTCCGGTCATCGTCCACCAAAACACAAACTGGGATCCCAAAATTTTGTTTAAAAAAATTCTTGCCAGAGTCACAAAATTTTACAGCCTATCACCCCTTTAAATCCAAGTCTATTCTAGCTCTTTCACACACTACAAAGTCTAGAACCTTTCTTTCAACCTTTTCAAAGCCAAATCAAAGAATATAACTATGTAACCTTAGGCAAGTAAATCCTTCGGTGTTGTGTGATGTTTACTTCTTCACTGTTCCCAAATCCACAGGACATTGCTACCCAAGCTCGCTAATTATTGCCACCACGGTATGGGGTTGTAGGAAACGAAAACCACATTTATATGTGGAGATTAATATCTTCATTGGATGTGTGAGCTTGTGGCCAGCCAATAAAACTACACAAAGTCTTCGATCTCCTTCATGGAGTAACTAATATTTTTACTGATAAACACACGGAAATTAAACATGAATTTTGCCAAGCCAATAATATTTTTACTTATCAAACAACCAGGCATAAACTAAACAACTTGAATTCTTAAGAGTTTATTCCTAGCACAAAATAGAAATCTAATATGTTCCTATTCATGACAACACTCGCACCGGCAAAATTTTACAAATAAATAAATCCCAATTGGAGTATAAAATATGTACCTTCCAAAGCCAAAGTGTGGTAATTGAAGTTTCAGCTATGGAGAAAAAATGCAGAGAGACCCAGAAGCGCAGCCAAAACCAAGCCTTGCTCTTTGAAAACAGTAGCAGCCAACACAATAATTCCCCGCGTCAGAAAAACCTCCAGAAACCCTAATTTCACACATGGTAACCAAGTCTTCAACACCACGAAACTCACTATATTAAGCAAGAAAAGCCTCATCTTGTTGGAATTTTGAAGCAATTGGTGGGAATTCGACAATTTTTTAGGAGGTATTCTAATCCATGAAAGAATGTGGATGGATTGAGAAGTGCTACTTTCAAGAGAATTCTAAACAATTTGTAGAAATCGTGGATGCGAATCGGAAACAAACACTCTTGTTTTGGTGCTCGATGGAGGTGGTTGGTTGTGCCTATGAGTGTGGTGATGGTCTTCGTCAGTAAGGGTAGCGATGCTTTTCAAGACCGGCAAGGTGTTCGACAAAATGCCCCAATGATGAAATGGCCACCACGGTTATACCTTGACAACTCTTCTTTGTTATTCTATATCAGCACCATCACTGTCCCATGTAGTTGTGTGGTTTTAAGAGATGCCCACAAGGTGTTCAATGAAATGCTCTAAATTGTGCTCTAAAAAACTTATTTGTTATAATTTTTGAAAATAGTTTTGAGTTCAAAAAAAAATTGTGTTTGGTTTGACATTCTAAAATTAATTTCACCCTTGTATTCTAATGCTATGTTTAGTTTAAGTTTTCAGATCATGATTTCAAATTAATTTCAAAACACATTTTGAAAATATATTTGGTAAATCAGATAATTTTTGAATTTTTGATTTACTTGGTCATCCGTTTGGACGTCCTCCCGTACAGTTTTTGAATTTTTGAATCTACCCGATCGTCCCCCCAACATCCTCCCAGATGTTCGGCTGGTCACCGGAACAATACCTTTTCTCTTTTTTTTGCAATTGTCAATCGCCACCTGTTATTTAAAAAAACAATTATATTTGTTTTGAATATTTTTTAAATATAGAAATTATTTTTTTAAGACTAAAATGACATTATTTTTTTAAAATTAAATTTTAAAAGAGTTTGATTATGAGTTTTGAATAGAATTTTCAATAGAATTTTGAGTTATGTGTTTGGTTTTGAGTTATAAGTTTTTTAATTAAGTTTCAAAAACTTTTTTCAAAATTCATAACCGTTTAACTTTTCTCATTTTATATGTCACATCAAAAATTTAAAAATCTTTTCAAAACTCATAACCAAACAAATTTTCTCTTTTCAAATCATAATTTCAAAACTCACAAACTCAAAATACAATTATATTCTCAAACCATAATTCCAAAACTCTACCAAATGCTACCTTGAGTTATATTTTAAGTTTTTGAGTTTTGAGTCGTATTTTGAAAAAAAAATGTTTATTTTTTTTTAATAGTTAAAATTTTTCTTAATTTCATTTTTTTAAGATAAATATTTTTTATTGTAAATATTTATTTATTTATTTTAACGTGTTTTGTATTTAATATATTGTTTTTAATTTCTTCACAATTTTTGTATTAATTAAGTATAATTTCAATAAGCTAATAAATATCTAAATCATAAGCGATTATTTTGCTAATATTTAAAACCAACTTAAAATTTTACATCGATATATCGAATTCAAATTCCGGTGATTATGACTATTTAAATATTTATAAAGTATTGTTGGTAATTCGTTTTCGTTCGTGCCATCCACTTTGACATGGGCCCAACCCCACAAGCACAAAATATTTTAATTATAGTTTTTAAATATTTAAATATTTTATTTTATTTTAATTATTTTAAATATATAATTTTTATTTTAAATATATAATTTTTATTTTTTATTTCAAATATTTTTTTATTTTTTAAATATTTTTTTGAAAAAATAAAAAAAGTAAAAAATATTTTTCTTTAAAAATAAAAAATATTTTTTTTTTCAAAAAAAAATTCAAGGAACAAAATAAAAAAAAAAATTGGTTATAAATTTTGAAAAAAAAAAATTGAATTAAGTTTTAAAAATTTTATTTAATTATAATTTTTTTTTTATTCAAATCATGATTTGAGTTCAACACCAAACAGTACCAAAGATTTCATGACATCATCTAAAGCTTTTGTTTAATATAAATAGTATATAGGGAGTTATTTACGTGTGCAACCCCTTTACGCTATGTTTGATTAGGAAATTTAGGAAAAGATTTAAAAAAGAAAAAAAATTGTATGAAATTATGTGAAATATAGATATATTTTATTTATATTTCACTTACTTTTTTCATTTTTCATTCCAAATTCCTTCATAAATTCTCAAACCAAACACATCATTAAGGTTGCACACCGTATGCAACTTAGTTATTAGCCCTTAGATTACAAAGAATTGATGTACACCATTGAATTGTTTAATGGTAAAAGATTGAAACCGAGGCAACCCGTTAACCCTCCTATTTCCATCCCAATTCCCTCACTCTCTCTCTTTATTTCGTCTCCTCCCTCTTCTTCTCTTCCTCAGTGTAACACTTGATTTCCATTAACAAGAAGAAGCCTCTGTTGGGTTCCATTGTTGAATCTGTATATAACCCTTGATTTCCAACAACAACAGAACTACATGCCTCTGTTTTCATCGTTGAAGTAAAGCTGTTCTCTCAACTAGATATCAGGTATGGAGCTCTCTCTCTCTCTCTCTCTCTCTCTCTCTCTCTCTCTCTCTTCGCCCTCTTTTCTTCAGTGATTTTCCCTCAACCGCGTCCTCATCCTAACTTTAACCCCTCTACGATTCGCTCAACCCGAAACCTCTCAATCGGCAACAATAACCTCTTTCTCTCTCTCTCTCTCTCTCAATCGATTTTTGGCATGCGCTAACTGCCTCTTCCTTTTCATGATCGATCAATTTCTCCATCTCATTCACACTCCTAAAATCAATTCTATTTATGCTTCTTGTAGCCATAGTTTTATTTTTTTAATTACTTGTAGAGTATGTGGTGTTTTAATAATTCACACACATGCACATTTGCATTGCAGGGGCATTTCCCTAAATAAGCTAAAATAATAAATCAATTCCCAAACTAAGCCTAGTTTTCAAAGAATTCCCAAAATAAGCTAACTCGCGGTTCACAATCGCGATTTCAACATATTCTGCCTGTTTCGCGTGAAAGTTGGGAAATCTTAAATTCGTGGTTACAAAAAGCGATTTTGATTAAGAAATCGCGGTTACAAAACGCGATTTTAATTAATTTTTTTTTTCTTTTGAACTCGCTGTTACAAACCACGATTTCATCCAAAAAAAATTTTGCTCTGAATTCGCTGTTTGTAACCACGCTTTTAGAGAAAAAAAAATTTGTGAACTCGTGGTTTGTAACCACGAGTTTAGAACTACTACTCAACACATGCCTTCAAAGACACAGCAACCATCTCAGACCACTGGAAAATCTTTAGTCAAGGATTCAGTTGACAAAATGTTTCAAATAGCTAGTAGAGAAGAAGTTGATCAGAAGATTGCAAGATGCATCTACGGCAATGGCATTGCTTTCAATGTTGTGAGGTCACCATTATGGGCAGATATGGTCTCTTCTATTCTCAATGCACCAAAAGGGTACAAATCCCCCAACTATGAGAAAGTTAGGACTGCTCTTTTGGACAAAGAACATAAAAAGGTGCAACAATCTCTCACTCCCTTGATGCAGGATTGGAGCACCATGGGGTCTCTATTATTTCTGATGGTTGGTCTAATTTAAAAAACCAACCTCTTAGATAGACAAAAAGGCTATCTCTGGAGGTAAAGCTATTTTTATAAATGGGCATGATGTTTCTTCCATGGAAAAGACTGGGGCTAATATTGCTGAATTGCTCTTGAAGGCCATTGATTATGTTGGCCTTTCTAATGTGGTCCAAGTTATGACAGATAATGCTTCCAATTGCAAGGCTGCAGGTGCGATAATTCAGCGGAAGCATGCCCATATTTTTTGGTCTGGTTGTATGGCTCGTACGTTAAATCTGTTGATGAAGGATATAGCTAAAAGTGAGGATTCATTGCTGTCCTTTGTTGATGAGTCTTACAAAAAAGGCAAGGCAATTGTTAAATACATCAAAAATCACTCCTCTCGTCAGTACTTGTTCAAGACCTTTTCAGCATTGGAGCTTCTCAAAGCAAAAAAAACCAGGTTTGGCCATAATTTTATTGTATTGCAAAGACTTGTTAAAGAGAGACCATCATTAATGTCTATGACTCTAAGCAAGCAATGGGATAACTTGAGGAGGAGTTCATCCTCACAAGAGCAACATGACATTGTCCTAAAAACAATTATGGATGATGACTTTTGGAAAAAATCAAAACAAGTCCTCAAGTTTACAAAGAATATATATAAGATGCTTCGTTTTTCTAATTCTGATAAAGCAGTTATTGGGGAGGTTTATGAGCAAATGGATACAATGTTAGGAAATATCAAAGACTCTCTTTCTGATGATCTTACAATCTATGATTTGGTTCAACAATATGTGGTGGCAAGATGGGATAAAATGAATATTCCTCTACATTGCCTTGCATATGTCCTTGTTCCTAAGTACTACACAAATTCTTGGCTTTCACAGCCAGCTCCTGGTGGTGTGAGTAGGAAGAAGCCTCAATGTGATAAAGAGGTGCAAACAGGATATCTTCAAGCAATTGAAACAATTGTTGTTGACCAAAATGAAGCTTCTTTGATACGCCATCAAATTAGCGATTTTGTGAGTAACAAAGGTGTTTTTGCACAACCCCAAGCTATGAAAGATAGAGCAACCATGACTGCATTATCATGGTGGCATATGTATGGTGGGGCTGCTCCTGAATTGTTCTCATTGGCAATAAAAGTTTTGTCTCAAAGTGTAAACACTTCTTGTGCTGAGAGATGTTGGAGTACCTATTCCTACATTCACAATGTGAAAAGGAACAAGTTGAATGTGGATCGTGCTGAAAAATTAGTTTTTGTGCACTACAATCATAGGTTATTCTTTTCTTCTTTGTTTTATTTGTATTATCTATTATGTTCTAGTTTTTGTATTTTTTTTTTCTTATTATAGTATAATATTTGTTCTTCTTTTGTCAACAAATTATAGGTTGTTGACAAAATATAGGAATGATTATGAGGACTTTAATAATTGGGATGCCTATCCAGAAGATGCCAACATAGAGGAGGATTTCACTACAATAGAACAAAGGGATAATGTGTCTCTCTTAGATAGTGAAGAGGATGCTGAAAACAACTTTGATGATGTTGGTGTTCCAAGCCTAGCTTTAACTGTTACTGCCTCTCTATCTTGCCCACCTCCAACTCCAACTATTCAAGAGTCTTCTTCAATAGAGAAGATAGAGAGAGCACTGAGGAGGCTTGAAAAGGCAAGGGGTAAAAAGCAAAAGAAATGAAGGATTTGGTGCACTTTGGAGAAAAAATGAATCAAAAATTGTCTTGTTTGTTTTTGGTAGCAACTCTACTTTTGTGGATTGGTGAACTTTTGTTGTTTTGTTGGATTTTTGTTTTTTTGTGGTGATGCTTAATTTTTTTGCCCAACCTTAATGATATATTTTTGTCTATCTAATGGGAATTTATAAAATATTTCTCAATTTATTTATTAAAAAAAATATATACATGTATGTCAATTAAAAAAATACATATAGATGAATTAAAAATATAATTAATAAAAATAATATATAAGCGCTTCTAATTTACGACTCCTCTAAGTGGTCACGTTCCCCCGCTCCCGCTCCCGCTCCCGCTTCGTGCAACTAAGGAATTGACAAATCAGCCACCCCCGTTCCTACATTTATTTTTCTTCATCATTTTGTCATTTTTCTTTTCTCTTCTGTTCTTAATCCATATCAATTTCCCATTTTCTCCCATGTGACCTTGTACAAATAGATGTCCATTCAGAATCACTACCAACAACTTTAAAAGGATTCCAAATTAAACAAGGCCGATAAAGAATACTATGTATTAGCAATAATTGAAAACAAGCTAAAAAAATCATAGAAAAATTAACTCGCTTCAGCTTTTTTTGCTATTCATTCATTGGTTACCAATTATGCTAGCTGCTAGGCTCATCACATATCTTTTTAGCACATTGGCGTGAGATGATGGCGACTGAATATTACCGTATAACGCATAATTAATCGACATGCCTATCATCAAATATCCTTTTGAATAGTGGATATTTATAAGGACAAAAAAAATCCAGGAATATTTTATGCGACGCATATGTGAAATGCCAGAAAAACAACATAATGTCATTCTAGTAGCCATCTATAATCTTATATTAAAACCTCGTCATTTTAGTGAAAAGTATTTGCTATTATTTTCTTTTGGAGTTTTTGGGACCATCGTATCTCCGTTAAACTTGACCTTGAAAGAAAAGATTACAAAAGAAGTATGAAATTCCCGTAATGAAGCACAGTAACCCCACTCGAAGCATCTACAATGATTCAAAGGTAAATTCTATGTCATGTACTCTGCCTTTTGCATCAATTTTGTACCTTTAATTGCAATTAACTCGATTTTAACTATAGGGAGAGGAAGTGAATCACCATGAAAACCATGAGGCTCTAATGGTCTTCAAAACTCCAAAACAGTAGCAGTCACACCTGGAAAAACAAAAAAAAAATACTTTGTTCAATAATGTATCCTTTAAGGGGGGGAGGGGGGAATTATCCGAAACAAAAAGGTGAAGGAAACCAAATATAATAAGACAGAAAGTTCTATACGTTGAGAACAATGTCTATGAGATATATGGCCAAAGCTGGGCAATAAAAACAAAGTAATGGTAATAAATTAGTGACATAATAGCTGAATTACAAATATAAACCTAATAACAAACAATAATAAGGGTTTTCTCAAAGATGAGAAAACATCTTCTCAAATCCTCAACATCAGAACTTTTAACTCAAACCTAATAGCAAAAAAGAGCTCACGAAGATGGCTAGGGTTAGAAATCCAATCAAAAAATCAGATATCTAATATACCCATTTTACAAACCCATTCAAAAACATATAGAAGATAACGGAGGGAGATAAATAGAGTTTAGAAATTGGAGAGAGAGAGAGAGAGAGAGAGAGAGAGAGAGAGAGAGAGAGAGAAACCACCTTACCTGGTGAGCATGTAATAGCCGGCGGTGGCGACTATGGATTTACACAAAATCGTCCATGAGGGAGGAGGAATGATAGGAAGGAGTTGTGTGTGAGATTGAGACGAGAAACGCAGAAGGATTAGGGCAAAATTTTGGGAATCCCCAATTTGAGAGGGAATTTCAAATTAAGGTAAAATTTTGTCAACAAATTTGCTCCTAATTTTTTTAGGGAAAATGAGTGAGAGCACTAATTAGTGCTATCACTAATGATGTGGCAGTGAGCCCCATCAGGAATGATTTGATGTTTTGACCTTTGTTGACAAAATATAGGAATGATTATGAGGACTTTACATTAATTAATGGTGTTTTTAGAGTTCCAAAATTAATGGTTTCTATCATTGTTGTTTTTTTAAAGATGTAAAAAATAGATTAGGCTTGTTAAATTAATATTTTTTTAATTTTATTTATTGTTTATACTTTTTACTTTATTGGACTTTTATGACTCAGTTTGTAAAAAAAAAAACAAAATTTAGATATATTTAGAAAGTATAAATTAAAAATAATTTAAAATTACACCAAATATAAAAATATATATATATATATACATATTATTTTTGTGTATATATATCCCAAATCTCATGAAGTTTTGATGAAATTGTTACACACAAAGCCAATTAAGGGTCTCGATTCGAAGAAGCAACACAATTTATGAATCTATAAACTTTCCAAAAAGATTCAGACATGTAGTCATGACATCAAACCTTGAAAGAGAATAACAAAACCAGTAAGTAAAAAGTCACAAAATAAAATTAAAATTTACATTCAGTGAGATAAAAATAAATCAAAAAGAATTCAATTTTATTGAATCTACCGTGTCAAGCCATACATGCATTTTAAGTCAATTGAATAATTCAATTTTATTGTAAACCAAGAAGAGCATGAAGTGAAGAATTTCTCAAAAAACATGAATAGAAATGGAATTAATTGATAAATATTTCTCAACAAATAGTCTAGTCCTGAGGGGATATATTTGCTCATCACAAACAAAAGAAAACCGGCCTAACACCATTACAGACTTAGCAATGACATTGATTGCCGGTACATTAGTCACTTGTAATTTTATAACGGCAACGCTAACTTGATATAAAATCAGGGACAAAATGATCTCCAAAAAAAGAGTAATACCAAAAGCTTTCATTTAAATCATCATAGTTCCCACAAGGAATGCTTTGATATCCTTTTTTTACTCCTAGCAACTTCCTTTTAGAACAAATTCAAATATTATTTAACACGAGTTTACAAAATTATAAAATCTAATC